GATTGAGAGTTTCTATGGACAGCTATATTCTACGCAAGCACCTGTTGAAAGCAAGGCTAGAGACCCCAGAGCCAAGCTTACTCGACACTACACTGAAGATATCCCGGACATCAGCCTGTATGAGATTAATATGGCTCTCAAACAACTTAAAAACAACAAGGCGGCGGGCGATGATGGAATCACAGCAGAACTTCTGAGAGCGGGCGGTAAGCCGATACTTAAAGTCCTCCAGAGGCTTTTCAACTCCATCATCCTTGAAGGCAGAACGCCAAAAGCATGGGCCAGAAGTGGGGTTGTCCTGTTCTTCAAGAAAGGTGACAAAGCACTCTTGAAAAACTATCGACCAATCTCGCTTCTTAGCCATGTTTATGAGTTGTTTTCGAGAGTCATTACGAATCGTCTCGCACGCAGGTTTGATGACTTCCAACCTCCCGAACAAGCCGGTTTCCGCAAAGGCTTCAGTACCATAGACCACATTCATACGCTGCGGCAGGTTATACAGAAGACCGAAGAGTATAATCTGCCATTTTGTTTGGCGTTCGTGGACTATGAGAAAGCTTTCGATTCGATTGAGACCTGGGCGGTGTTACAGTCTCTCCAAAGGTGCCAAGTAGACTACAGGTATGTCGAGGTATTAAGGTACCTCTACGAAAACGCCACTATGTCAGTCCGATTACAGAACCAGAGCTCCAATCCTATCCAATTGAAGCGAGGCGTGAGACAGGGAGATGTGATATCTCCGAAACTGTTCACAGCTGCATTGGAGGATATTTTTAAGCTTCTGGATTGGAAAGGACGAGGCATTAACATCAATGGCGAGTACCTTTCGCACCTTCGTTTCGCCGATGATGTAGTTCTTATGGCTGAGACCTTGGAAGATCTTAACACGATGCTCGAAGATCTTAGTAGTGCTTCCCAAAAAGTGGGTCTTAAGATGAACATGGAGAAGACGAAAATTATGTCAAATGCCCATGTACTACCCGCTCCAGTTAAAATTGGGAACACTACACTCGAAGTTGTCGACTGTTACGTCTACCTAGGACAGACAGTCCAGTTAGGTAGGTCCAACTTTGAGAAAGAGATCTCTCGTCGTATCCAGCTCGGATGGGCAGCGTTCGGGAAGCTACGAAAAATATTCGCGTCCAAATTACCTCAGTGTCTCAAGACAAAAGTCTTTGACCAGTGTGTGTTGCCAGTGATGACCTACGGAAGCGAGACGTGGTCCTTTACTGCGGGTCTCATAAGAAGGCTCAAGGTCACGCAGCGAGCAATGGAGAGAGCGATGCTTGGTGTTTCCCTACGCGATAGAATCAGAAATGAGGAAATCCGTAGGAGAACCAAAGTTACCGATATCGCTCAAACGATGGCTCTGCTGAAGTGGCAGTGGGCGGGACACGTAGCAAGAAGAACCGATGGCCGTTGGGGCGGAAAGGTTCTGGAATGGCGACCACGCACCGGACGACGCTCTGTGGGTAGGCCCCCCACAAGGTGGACCGACGATCTTGTGAAGGTCGCGGGAAGCCGATGGATGCGAGTGGCGCAGGACCGATCGGTGTGGAGATCCTTGGGGGAGGCCTATGCTCAGCAGTGGGCGTCATACGGCTGACATGATGATGTTTTCCAAACCGGTAAAATGGAAAGTCCTTTTTAAAGTGAATATATTAAACAAAGGTGTCCGTTGAAATCTAATGACTGTAAATTAAATTATAAATTACGCCAAGAATTACCGTGTATGTCAATATTTTTTGTGCATTTGGGCCAATTTGAGCAATCTCCTTTTGGAAATTGTTAAAGATGTTGATTTTCTAAAACCATGTAATTTATATTACTGTATTACACGTGTCACATGACGGCGGGCCGCATTGGGACAATAATCTTGAAAGTTAGGATACACGAAGGATCGTTCGGACGGAACACAGATAAATGAATGAATACGTGAGCTCACGACTAACACTTCATTGTAATGGCTTCCACACTGAAGGAACGAAGCGGTGCCGGCGATGATGCCTAAGCGACAGCCCTTGACCACACAGCATGCTGATAGGGGTGTACAGGTAACAGGCTACGGCAGACGGCGTGCAGGCGGGAGGTGTTCGGGAGGATTCAAGCACGCCGATGAAGCCGGAGTCGCGTGATGATGCGAGCGCGCGGGTGAGCGCGTAACGCCACACACATGGCAACAAAGGGGTTGGCAGAACGCCATCATCCCCACAGGCTCAAGAACAAGCCAGCACCAAATCGCGTGGTTGCGCCATTTTTGTTATAAATTACACCTTGTTTCCCAAAAAAGAGTGCTTATATTGGTAATTAAAGTCATCCATATTTAATAATTTTGATTTCGGTAATTAGCAGGTAATCACGACGCGACTGCTGGTCAAATGTAGAAAAAATTATTAAGTCTGTCATTTGCGCGTAAGCGTATACGTTTCTGACGTTTGTTTTTTTTCATTGAAAATGAGATTTCAATATTTACCGAAACAAGCCGTGGAATGAAATGAGAATAATTTTCTGAATACAATGATACAAAAAGTCGTAATGAGATTCAGTATTTACGAAGATATTACGATAAACAATTTTTACAATGAACCGTTCGTAATCAATAACAATTGTTTATATATAAATTTTATGTCCTTTAATAAAATAAAGACTCACAAAAATATTTAAGGACATAGAGATTTTAAAGTCAGGTTTTGTTGACGCTCTAGGGAAATATACATGTTATTATATAGAATTCTGTAAATGATGTTAGCACAAGTTTGTTTATATGAATTAAGAACTAATAAGTCAGCATTTCATTAAGTGCCATGATATTCTTATTATTCTTACTCTATTCTTAAGGCGCTATCTCACGATCTGTGTTGTCGCGGGCGAGGCCGCGCCGCGCAGGGTTACCAAACGTATGAGAACTTTAACATTCGAAATTTAGCAGTATCTATACATGATACGAGGTAAATAGATATCTCGTACACTTTAATATGAAATTTGAACAATGTTGACTGTTTGTGTAATATACATAAAACCAAAAATATTATCAGAAAGTAAATAAATGTCTAGTCCACAAAGAATCGTCTCAGTAAGTACAGATTCATTATGCCATCACTAAATGCATCCCATATTCGTAAAACGTATCATTACCTCGTATCATGTATAGAGACTGCTAAATCTCAAACGTTAGTGTTCTCATACGTTTGGCAACCCTGCCGGCGCAGCCTCGCCCGCGACAACACAGGTCGTGAGATAGCGCCTTAGCATTACTAAAATCAAATAGTGTTTCCGTGATTTAGCTATTGCTGCAAACTATTTAAACCAAATGCACGCTTAATGTAATACTGCACTATACACTACCACGAACATTTGCCGTTTTCATGACGCTTTGATAAAGAATTAGTCACATTTCTGCCCGTTTTCTGAAATGTAACTATTGCTTCGCCATAGCGCGACAGGCGTGGTCGTAGCATTAGTATTTAGGACAACACTGAGTCTTGTGATAGCACCATTTTGTATGCGAAGAAGGGCCAGAAGTCGAATTTTAAAGTAGGGTGATGTTGAAGTTTCAGCGATATTTTCAGGAAATCGATGAATATATATTAACACAAGCTTTTGTCCATATGGCTTAAGTACTAAAGGGTCAATATTCCATTACAGTGCATAGTAACCCCCAATATTTTTCCTTAAGTATTTGGTTTGCCTATCGATCAATTGGTTATATTCTAACGATGAATTTGAATTTCCACGTGACGCGTACGTAATAAACTAAAATCGGTTTCGTAAATACGGGAGCACGCATAGCTAGCCTGCCGATGCCGATATTTACGCTGTCAACTTTTCAATTTATACGGTCAGGCGAAATAAATGTTTACGCATCGGGCCAGAGCAAACACGATATAAAATGAAAAACAAAAGTGTTATTTTGTTTTGTTTTGAAGCTTTGTCCTGTTTTTTTAATTAATTTCCTGATTATTTGTTAAGTGCGCCTACTTACATCAAAGCTATTCAAGTTTGTTCTACCGAGTGGGGTCAAATTACTTAGAAAAACAATTTGATCATTTCATAACTATTACTCGAAAGAATCAAAATTAATTAGTCTTAACTCTTAACAAATCTCGGATATTTTTTAAGATGGGACAAAGAAGGCCTATAACGCTTCTTCTAGCCTTAACGTGTCTATCGTTACTTAGAGGGTATCGAGATGAAAAATTGTTTAGCTACTCATTCATCCGATGACCGCCCATTGATTTCTTTGATCTCCATAAATACCTAACTAACCAAATGCAAAACCACCTACGCTTTCTACTTAGATACACCAGAAGTATTCCGTACTTACATCTTTCCTCTTACAATCAATACTTACTTACACCATTCTAAAGCTCCGCATTTAATACAAGCTTAAGCCGAACGAAATGAGAATTTACGCATTTACGAAGTCATGAATTTTTGACCGCGCCGTTCTGAATTTATTACTGGATCGTCAAGAGATTCTGGAATTGATGCTCCTCTTGAGGCGGTATTATTCTGTTTCGCGGAATTTTTTATTTAAAGTTATATCATTTGATTTATTTTAACACACGTTTTTTTCCTACTTCAGAATCTCTTTATTTCGTTAGAGCTTAATGAGATATTAATTAATCTTGAATGAGAATTGGACAAAGGCCGACTTTCTCGAATTAAAAGTTAACTAAATAAAAGGAAATATTTGCGGTGTAATGAGGGTCATGCTGGACTATATACAGTATACTAGGGTAACACCAATACGTGTTTGAAAATGTTTACCAAATTGAAGTGAAATATTTTCTGCTCTCAGTACAATATCCGAAGCGTGTATGTTTTGAGATTCCACGCTCGGTAATTAGCGAATTCTGTAGGCAGCTAGATCGTTTATTCCCATACTTGCGTCTAAAATTCCGGTGTTGTGTTGCTGCACTGCATAGCCGATTATTGAAATTGATTCACTCTTAATTAAAATTAACTTTGTTTTAATGAATGAATGTTGTTTGTTTCAGTTCATGAGGAGAATTCTTCTGGAGTTAATTGTAAGTTTAACGTAGCTTCATTTGTAAAGTGCCAGAGATGGGCGCAGAATTTTGCTATTGGATTTTCAGCACGTGTACCTGTTAATTAATGTTCCGATTATAACTACGTACTATGTATCACTCAAAATACGTACTATGTATCACTCAAAATATGATACTTAATCAAATAACACAAATTGACAATTAAAGCGCCCTTAATACGTACTATGTAGCACTCAAGATAACAGTAAAAGAAAATCAAGGAATCTTGGTTCAACGAATAAAGTTTTGTCTTTTCTACTGGGGTAGAGGTATCCTGTGTTAGATCAATTCACCCTGTACTTGTTAAATACTTTAATTCCAAGTCCGTTCAATCATTCCAGTGAGATTAGTTCTAAAGATAATTTCATTCTTTCGCAAGTAATAAACTCTATTAGTAAAAACTTTTCTAGTTTGGAGCAGTACGCTTTTTTACAATCCTTTCATGGCTCTCTCTGACGTCCATTATACGTGCTCGCACGGTTGAATTAGTAGAACAAACTCTGCGGCCTGCATTATTCATACCAGAGCTGTGTTCATAGAAATCACCCGTCATATACCATCATACATCTCGGGGAAAAACGATTGAGCTAGCAATAACGTATTACAAACAAAGGAAAGAACGTTACTTAGCTTTTAGGATTAACTGGATCTTTTATTATAATGCCGTAAAAGGTAGAGTTTGTTAACAAACCTACTTAACTTATTTGGACAGAATTTTCTTTGAGTTGGTTTCGTTAATATTTTTCTGTGTAGCACTGTTAATAGTGAACGATAGTTAGTGGTAACCCTTTAAAATCATAAAGGGCTTAGAAAAATTACTCATCCCCACTAGATGTTGAGTGTAAGTTGATACTTTTTTTAGCTGTATTTATTTGGGAGCTTATTGTTACAAGAACATGCCAACTCTATTGTAACCTAATCTAAATTATCGCATTTACATAATATTGTACGGTGGGAGCAACGAATCATTGGTGCAATAATACACTAACTAAACCCTTTGCTGCATTCTATTTTGGGTTTGCTAAAATTACTGAAAATGCTCCTAAGTCCTTAGTTTTAATTTCGTACCTCTGCACATTAATACGGCCCATGTTTAACTTATCATCAACAAAAAATAAGAGTATAACATCTCCGATTTTTTTTTAACTCTACTCTTCAATCATCTTTCCGTTTGTGCGGTTGTTGGAGCTTTATATCTCTATTATAGGAACTCAGGTCGTAAGATGTTATGTTCATTTCAAATAATACCGTATCCTAGATTAGATAGGTAATAGTTTGACCGTACTAGCATTTCGTATAGAGTAAGCACGTTTGATTGTGGGGCGCTTAAGAAAAAGAACCATCGCATGGTGGTCTGAAAATTGATAAAGGCACTCCTTGTTATTATAAACAATAATTATAATAAAAAAACAAGCAACTTACAAAAAGAAATGAAATCCCACCAAAAAAGTTTTCCACCAAAAATGTAGAATGTTGCCAAGACGAGAGACATATGACTCGCGCTGTCAAAAAGTCATCAGATCTCATGTAGAGCCAAGCTTTTAACTCTACACGCCCTAACTCTTCGTTGCTACAAAAACAATTATATAATAGAAAAGTAATGAATGGTGGCTAAAATTTCCATCCTTCGTACATGTGAATGTAGCGAAATGGCCAAGCCACATATTTTTACAAATAATAATAGTTTTAGAGTTTTTGAACTCTAACTACTTAACTAATTTATTACGAGGAGCAACACAGGTCAACGAAAGTATGAGCGTCCACATACCTAAATTCAGTATCAATATTAGTCATTGTAGTCTAGTAGTGTTCTACGATAGTTCCAGAAACTGTCTTGTCGAAGTCCCAATATCCATTTTTTTTGTTTCCTCCCAGTGGGTGGTAAAATTCTCATGGATAACCGTTAACCTACAGCCGACTGCAGGGTTATGTCAGACTCTTGCTGACTAATACACACCCATGGAGGGAAGCCTATAGCCTTAAGGGACTTACAGGCTTTATTTGATGGTATCATCCCCTGAGAAGAGGACCGTGCAGGACGTACAGCTGGCGCTTGTACATACATACAATACCTATATATTTGTTACGATCTATATGAAATATGATATTAAATTTAACAGATTATAAGGCCTACAAAGTTTCCTTGTGGAAGATTCTTATTCAAAATTATTTGCATTAATTCTTCCCCGAGCTGTAGTCTGCCCGGGTGCGCGTCTCCCCAATTATATGCAGATTAGGCACTTATCTGCAAGAGTTACTTCCAAGGTGAAACCATCCTTTTACCTTGACCGTAAAAGGGTGGGCAAATATCAATCCTCCTTTATTTGTTCTTATGCTTTCCCATTATGTTTCTTGCTATGGGTGTAACCACATTTGTGCGCTTTTTGTCGTTCTATCGTAGTTCTATCTCAGACTATCGTATGGAAGACCATTTACTACAGAGACAGATTATAAAATGCGAACAACCTCTCTTGCTTTATGCCGGACGCTTTTGTATAATACCTACATAAGAACATTTATTAAGCGATGGGGTTGCCCTTACATGCCACATCTACTCCTCAAAACACAGATGCGTCTTACTCTGTTTTCTTAACAAATAAATATTGGTAAATTTTATACTGATATCGATTTTTTGCCACTTACCAATGAGATTAAAATGTTCTTTATTGAAATGCATTACTTACGAACGGATAGTTCGAATAAACTTTTTTAGGTTCGAGCGTTCATAATAGTTGGAAAAAGTTTTGTAGGCAACGAAAAATTGCAAAAGTTGGACCGTCAAAGGTGGAAAATTAGTAGAAAAACTGAAAAGCACTATTTAAAGTCATTTGATAAAGTCGGGTCTAAAATTCACGTCTATTTGTTTTGAAATCAATTGTTGGTCATCTTTATCAGGGAACACAGCAATTGCTTAAAATTATATCAGCATGTTCATCCTTTATAAATGTACCAACTGTTGAAATTGTTCTCATAGTAAGTGGATGCGGGTCAGACAGACAAACATATAGTAATTACAGGATATGCTAATAATTGGCTAAAGACTGCATGATTGACTAAATTCGTACTTGGTTCGTATTTCGTAGGACCACGGTGTGTATACTTGATTAGTTCACATTGAGATGACGAGTCTTCGTAGTAATTGGACACAATATGAAGAGTTATAGTAAAGATAGACTACATTCAGCCAAACTACGTTATATACTATGCAAGGACTTTTAAAAAAAAAGAACAACAACAATTGTTAAAACTCATGACATGGCCTCCACAGTCCCCTGACTTAAACCCGATAGAACTATTGTGGGATCAGCTGGATAGAGAGGTGCGAAAACGTTGTCCCAAATCTCAGGAAGACTTGTGGAAAAAACTGCAAGAATAGTGGCAGAAGATAACCAAGACAGTATTGGAAAAAATAGATATACTCGTATATAGATGAGTCCAAAATTTAAAAATTATATTCTTGCTATGTCTAAAAATGGCTAATAAAGATGGTAAAATAGTTATGAAGTAGTTACACTCAATGGAACTTTTACAAAAAATTTTTTAACTAGGTGGCAAATACTTTTGAGAGGTAGTGTACTTGCCATGGAATATCAGATACTCGTAGACCACTATTAACAACCAAATCCTACTTCCTTCCTTGCAGTTATGATGCTTGTTTTATTTCACTTGAAGGAGATTGGAATAGTTATTATTTATGACATTAGTACGGTAAGTTGGTTGTTACAAACGAGTAAACGAATGTAATATAGTCACGAGTTTGTAATAACAAACCGCACGAATGTCATACAATGTTTTTCAACAAATTTGCGAGAAAACATTATACATAACTTAAACCTTTAGTTTAGACCTCCGTGGCCGTTTGGTTTGTACGCCGGGTTTCAAGGTGTCTCCTACTCGAGAGGTCCCAGTTCGGTGGGGACAGATGTTTGTGTGAATAAAACGAGCATTTGTACTCCAGTCATGGATGTTCAATTCAATATACTTATATATGTACAGTATATGTATTCTATCTTTACCCATAACACAAGCCTTACAGTGCTTACTTTGGGGTTAGGCTAATTGGTGTGTGTTGGAAATATTTATTTATTTATTTAAATAATAAGGTAAATTTTAAAATTGAAAATGTTTTTTCATACGCTCCGGTAGGCCCCCATTTTCGCTGAAAGTGTTACATTTCAGTTACGATCTTCTTCTTAAAGCCCTTCAAATTCCGCGTCTTTTGAGCCCACATACGTCCTCGTGACCCTAAACCTCGGGATATCACGGGCGAGTCGCACTTTTCGCGAAAATGGGAGCCTACTGGAGCTAACGAAAAAACATTTTTAATGTAAAGAATCTGCTCAATGAATTTTACCACACGCTTCGATGTATGGCCCGTAATCTTGAAGTTTTGAACAATGTATACAACCTTTGTAAATGCATTTTTTGAGCAAATGTGTTGATGTTATAAGGGGCATAGAAGCAGACCGCTCATCTGATGGTAAGTGATAACTGTCTGCATTGGACATCTGCAACACCAGGAGTATCACAATGACGTATAAAATGTATGAAAATATTAAATTTATACGATAGGCTTCTAGTACAGTCAATCTATCGAAAAAAATATCGTTTCAGTGAAAAAAAAACCTAAAGGGTAAGTCTTGTTTTTTCTGTTGCCAAATGACGTCAGTAAGCCACCTTGGCGATTGGCATGTTCAACTCGTAGGCGTTTTTTGAAAAACTCAAAAAACCCTCAAAATTTTTTTGAAACGCATTTTTCTTGTTTTGTATGCATTTTAGAAACTTTTTTTTCGACCATAATTGTAGAGGGCGTTGAGTACTACAATTTATGTCATTGTTGCAATCTCGTACAACAAAAAATGCGCATTGTAGGTGGCGCTAAAGTCTCAAAAAGTGTTTTTTCACTTTTACACCTCGAAAATATCATTTAATGAAATTCAATGTACGTTTTACTATTTTTTATTTTATTTCATGATTGA